GTTTAAAAAAACAAGGACTTCTTCCTCTCAGATTGAGTGTGGAAGACAAAATCTGCTGACACGATGCATGAGCCATGTGGGAAATACATTCTGCCCACAAAAAAAAGATTTCATATTTAATTCCACTGCATCTCTGGAGACTGGATGGAAAACCTTGAACAGCAAAGGTGTCATTTTTATTCTTTTTTTTTAAAGAAAGCATTTCAGTTTGGAAGACATAGTGTTGTTCCATGAAGTCAAAGAAACCTCACACCACTGTGCTAACTGTGGGTGCTTGACTTGATTATTACTTGGCTCTGATAGGGCTCCACTGTGGCAGCTTCCAAATAAATTTGCGGATGCTGCACTGCACATGCCACAAACTGAAGCTCAAGCGGAATAGAGGCAGTGGTGACTTCCTTCCTCTCCCTTTAATAATTTCTTTGTTGTATCATTAACCCTCCATGCCAAAGCATGAAGACGTAATCCTGCAATCGGTAATGTGGCACAAACAATTAACTGATTTGCGACATCTGCCAGGTAACTCTTCACTGTCCCTAATGGAAGCAATGCCAAATGAGACATGATATCAGGGACCTAGAATGGCATCTTTTTCTTTGTAGCTACTGGGAATGGAAAAGACATAGATTAGATCTGAATCGCTAGAGGAGTGATGCTAGCCCTTTTCCCTCACTTGAGACATCCGTCCCCTGCTCCTATTAACCACTGGCAAAAAAAATCCAGGTATTACATATTGCATCTTTCTTCCTGCGCATACATGCAAGATGGTTAATAGCAACTCTTGACTCTGTAAGTGCAGTGAGAGTATATTCTGGATAAGAGTATATTAATATAATTTGGTAACTAATACCCATCTCCCCAGCAATTCAGCTTCCACCCAATTTCTTTAACTTTTAATAAAGAAAAAGACTTTGAGAGTTCCAGTCACAGATCCCCCACATAATGTTACTCTGGCTTTTAGAAAAACCACTGCAATTTCACTTAAACTGAAATCCAAAATTAAGGGGGAGATGGACAGTGTCAGTCTTTTTCAGGTGAAAGATGAAGGCATTTGAGGAAAGGTTAAAAAAAAGTTGGCAAAACTTACAGCAGAACCTGTAAACCATCCCGAGACATCAGTGATGGGATGGAATACAAAAGTTTTAAACAAACAAACAGGTCTCACAGGAGTTTCACCTGTTTGTTTTTATTATGTTCATGCATCACCCCATCACCAAAGCTTTTGGGGTATCTTACAGAGGCTGAAACCCTAAAATAAAATATTGCATTGTAATATAAAATGATCAACATTTTATGTAAACATTTTATGTAAACAAATGATGTAAACATTTTCACAGTCATTAATAACAGCAAATTTAAAGGCTGTTGAAAAACCTTGTATGCTGTCAAGCATCTGGGAGTAAAGTCTTCAACTGGTTCCAAAAAGATGCTCTTGGCAACAGGTGGGCTTATTGGGAAAAGCACTCCTATCCAAAAGTGTCCATTGAGAAGAGATCCCCACTTCTAAAAAGAGACCTTTGGAGAAGGACCTCAGGAGAAGATCAAAGAAAATAGTTTGAAAACTTTAAGCAGTGCTCCATCAGGTCCTGAACCAGTAGAACCAGCACCTTGAATTGTGTTCAGAAACATTCAGGCAGCTAGAACAAGTGGACCAGAGCCCAGACCTGTGGTCAGCATGAAGTGGCAAATTTAGAAGTGTGTGTGTGTGTAGGGGGGTGTCTCTTCATGACAGTCAAAGCTACTCCTCAAAACCAAGCTACCCCATCAAAGCCACACTCCAAGCCACACCCATTATAGGGAATTGTACAATAAACATAAGCTTTGTCACTTTGTTTGAATTTCTGTTGAGTAATTAATGTAAAATGAGGGTATCTCTTTTTGAGGTGAAACAATAGCAGCCTCTGGAGGTTATTTCCCATTATCTTATTTTTTTATGGATGAATGATTTTTTGAATTATATTCATATGCCACTCTCCAGCCAAAAAGCTCCTGGAGTGGCTTATGTGAAATTAATAAGGTAAAAACATGGCATAGAGAAACCAGTCATGAAGAAAAGTGTCACAGAAAACACATGTGCATGCCTGGTAGGCCTTTCCAGCTGGGAACTCAAAAAATACCCCTGTTCCTATTTATTCATTTTTTATTTTTAAAGAGCTTGTTGGGAGAGTGGGGAAACAATAAAAACACTTTATTTCTCTAATTCTGTAAACACGATGCATCATCATTTTATTAGCTTATAATAGCTCATGCCCCAAATGGCTTACCATTTAGATTTCATCAGGGCAGAGGGAGGGGGACAAAACAGAAGGAAGTAACAGAGGAAGGATGGGCGAGGTGACCTAATATTTACAGAGATTGGATATGACTCATTCCAAAAGCTTTTAACAAAAGATGGGTTTCAACTAATAAACTATAAACAAAATTAATAGAAATAAAGGGAGGGTCATATTTCTGCTCCACTCTAGTTTTCATTGGTGGCTGTTATATCAAGACAGGGAGCAGTGTCACTTGGCAAGTTAGATTGTCAAAATGCTTTATAATCTATGCAATGTCTTTGGTGTTTGGTTTTTGCCATTGTTGTTTCTGCTTTCTCCCTCTACAATGAAACAGTAGGGCACAGAATGCAGATATGTTTTCAGTCTATTTCCTGCAGGTAGACCAAAGAGCTAGAAATGTACAGAAGGAAAGCCAACTCTCTCATGAGTTTACCAAGTATGCATGTTCTCAGAAGGTTCTGCCTTGCCCTCTTGAGAATCTCAGCTCTGCTGGTAAAATGATATGCTGCTTCCCTACATTCTAATTAAGGCTAATTTAGAATGTTTGGGTTAATTTCTTTTTGGTGCCATTTATGATAGAGAAGAGTCTGCAAATGTTTGTTTCTAAATGACTTATTTGGCCGTGTTTACCTCTTTAAAGCTTGGCTAGAAATATTTAAACAATTAAAAACAAACCCTTCAGAGGGCAGAATTTGAGCTCATGTGAATCCAGGAAGTAAATTTTGTGATTTCCCCAAATCCCAAAGCATTGACGTATTTTAATTAATGATGGAAAAACCTTTCCAATCAATGAGCCATGCAAGTCAGTCACATAAATTGCATGTCTGAAATTATTAGAGGCAATAAAATTATCAAATATTATTAGACACCAACAGACTCTTGAGTCTTTAGGCAGTAAGCAGCCTAGTAGTAGAGTGCATGTAGAATATCCCAATCCAAATCTTAATGAAGGGCCATTGATCAGTGGAAGCTCACATGCAGAAGGTCCTAGATTCGGTTCCTGGCAACTCCACAACAGGACTAAGAAGGACTCCTGCCTGAATCCTTGGAGAAGCACCAAGGTTTCCTTGTACCCCTGTACCCTTCCTTGTACCATCTCTCTCTCTCTCTCTCTCTCTCTCTCTCTCTCTCTCTCTCTCTCTCTGTGTGTGTGTGTGTGTGTGTGTGTGAGAGAGAGAGAGAGAGAGACAGAGAGAGAGAGATCCAGGTGGGGCATCTAAAATACATCTCTGCATTATATAAATTCAGTGAGTTGAATTGGGAAGCATTGGTGCAGAAGCAGCAGCTATCATTGTCACAGACAGGCTGTTACATAGGCAATGGACCAAGCTGCAAGGAGAAAATGTCCAAACTCTAGATAGCTATCTGTGAACTGGAAGCACATTTCTTGCACAAACTAGTTCCATAATAAATTGACAGCACCAAACACAAAGGGGTTCCCATTTATGGATGCGTGGACTCAGGGAAGCCGTCTGATAACAATTGTACAAAACCAAAAAGAGAGATGTAGCATGAACACATGTGATATATGTGCTACTCTTGAAAACATTATTTTCCTTTCTCCCAATAAGGAAATTATGGTTAAACTTATACTTTGAAGAACATGCAGCAGGAGTCAGATGAAACTGCCTTGAGGACCAGAACAAGTCCTGTGGGTGGCCATCCCTGCTGTACATAAGAACATACTCTAAATAAGAACATACTCCAAAGGGCCAGATATAGGGCAGGTGACTTAGATGACTGCCAGGGGTCTTGGCTTATGGGGGAAAGTTTGGCATGTGCAAGTGGTGAGCACAGCTTTTCACTTCCTTTTCATGCTTCATGCATATTTTCAGTTGACAATATCCAGTGAGAGACTGACATCTCTCACTATTTTGTTGAGTCATAAAGCTAAACTGGCCAGTCTTTGTGCAGAAGTTTATTAGGGCAACTGTTTAGCAAAAGCAGCTGGCTTACTTTTCTAAGGCTGTCACTTCCTGCAATACTGTTTAAAAACGCACAATTCTTGCTGTTCACAAAGTTCAGTTATTTATAACAATATTTGGAAGACTACCTTGCAGTAAGCTTGAAAAAGAACATGTTTCTGTTTTTTGTTTCTATATGGCATGAATGAAAGACAGATCCATACATTCAAATGTAACAATTTATGGAAACTTCTGAATAACTTATCAGTTCAAGTCGTGCAACATAGTCATGAAATGGATACAAAGACAATAAGAAGTATGATGTTCGATAGTCAAAGATATGGAAGGAATTACCTGTCTGCAGGACATGCGGTCTAGAGCTGAGTCTAGCCACAGGCAAACACCCAAAGAGTCCAAGACCTTATTTAGCTCCTCCTGGGGGCATGAGCACATCCGCTGGAATGCCCCTCCCCTTTTCTTCTGCTTAGCAAACGCATATGCCACATCATGGTGTGTTTTTGAAAGGCCTTTCATTTTCAGAACAGTTTGCCATTTGCCGTTGAGTGCCACTGGCTTGTTTCAAACCAGCCCCAGCCCCAGCCCACATCTTCTCTGGACACATGCAAGTCGTTGTGTGGTTCTTTGCATCCCAACCTCAGAATATTTTCATTTTCTTGCTTAAAAGAAGCTTAAAACAACGCCTTCTCAGTGACCTTCACCACTTAGATGCTATCCCTGTGCCAGCCAGCGTGTGTTGCAAACCAAAAACAGCATGCTTCGTTAGTGCATGGTCTAATGGTTTTGTTCTTAATGATTTCAGGGTGGTGGTTCGATGCCTGTGGGCCTTCCAATCTCAATGGAATGTTCTACTCAGCTGGACAGCACCATGGAAAAATAAATGGAATCAAGTGGCATTACTTCAAAGGTCCCAGTTATTCCTTACGTTCCACGACTATGATGATACGGCCCTTAGACTTTTAAACATGCCAGGCAAAATCAAGAACAGTGCACAGCTGAGCTACTGCATTCTGAAGAATTTCAGAAGCAGAAGTTGGAGACTTCCTGAATGCATCCAATGGCAGCAGCCCAGTGGTACTCGGCTTTCATGTCACAGGTTGCAGCAAATGGGCACAGGTCACTACCATACACATCAAGAAGCAGATGACATTGAGGGTGCTCAGATCAGAGAGAAGATGGCTGTTGTGACGATCCATGGGCAACATCACAGTCTGATTGCTATAAATGGCAATAAACTTGGTTGTACGTTTTGGCAGAAACTTTTTTTTCTTTGAACAAAGGACATCAACGTTGACCTAACTACACAGAAACGAGATGAAAATCTGTTAAGTTGAAATAAATCATAATCAGAAGAAATGATGGTTGTTGATGATGAAAACAGCATGGAATCTATGCAAAACCACAACCAATACTTATTTTGATTGGTAGATGTGCCTTTAAAAAACATGCAAAGATAGCCACTCAAAACTCTTGCCTGCAATCAGCAAAAACACAATTTTGATGGGTAACATTTCTTTAGGTTCAATATAGTGATTTCTCATTATGCCCATTTCAAATGTGAATCATGCCCCCTAGTAAAAAGAATGTGAGTCACAACAGACAATGATAAGAGTAATATACAAAGAGTTGTCAATTGTCCTGCAAAGCTAGGGTGAATGTAGATAATCCAGATAATTGGCATAATCCTTCTCCTAGCATGATAACAAAAGAAACCAGGGATTTTTCTTTCAAACTGCTACAGCTTTGGCCTCTATCAAACCCAGTCTAAATGTCACATTTCAAAAAAGACTTTTTTAAAAGGTGAAATAAAGGCTATTTTGTATAAGGAATTTCCTTTGAAAAATAGATGTACCTATAGCATGTATGCAAATAACATAACCACATATTTTAACTGGATTGGACTCATTAAACAGTGTTGTTTTTTTGCATGTGCACACATTTGAGTTATTTCCAAATTGCTAGGCCTTCATTTCTTCTCTGTGTTGTTCATCCTTAATTCGAAAATAATTCCAGGAGAAAATTATCAGTTATTTGTTGTGCTTCAGTTACTGCTATGGAAATAAATACATACATACCAAAGCACAAAGGGAGTAATTCAAATTATGGATTCTAAAAACCATGGCTATAAAGTACTCACATTCACTGAAATTGGAAAATTAAGCAATGTTTAATTCTCTACTATTTGAAATGAATGGAATTTAAAAGTATTTACCTGGTTTATGCCCCATACGTGGGGCTACAACAGAAAGACAAGCTAAGTATTACAACCTTGGCCATCAGTAGTTCCAATGAATAAATAAAATAATTATTGCATTCAAGCACTAAATATTTGTTTCTTGTTTATGAACATGCACCTCTACAATTACATCGGCTTTCTGGTGTATGTTGAGGACCAGCTCAGACAGACCTTTGGACCAGATGATAAGCCTTTCTGCATGGCCTGCAGTGAGCCCGGACCTCTGGAACATGTTCAAATATCTCTGCATGCATGATGGTGTAGGATCATAGGTAGCTGCCTTCCAAAGAATTAGACCAGTGGTCTATTAAGTCTAGCACCGAGAAGCAATAGTTCATTGTTGGAGTATTTCCTAGTCCTACCTGGAGATGCCAGGGATTGAACCGTAAAAACAGCATTCAGTGCACTTGTTCTGCCACTGACTTATGCCTCTTCCCTTGTTGATATATCACCTGGAAGCTGGCCATTTGCACATAACGTAATTATGTTGTTTTTGAAAAACTTCTATCCTGCTTGGGATGCAATGGATCATCAGAATCTGCCAATTCACCAAATGCATGTGGTGTATGCACACACACCCTGAGATCAGTTAGTTCAAAAGTTAACTGCTTTTAGGGTCCTCAGCTCTTTTCAGACCAAAATCCAGATAAACAAAACTCATATTGAGTTTCAACTGTTTCACATGTGTTTCACATGTGTCATTTTGGGTGTGGATGAAAACTATATTGGCATGTGTGTGTATGGCAAATTCAGCAAGTGTATATGTTCTGCAGAGGAGGTTAGATCTCCAGATAAAAGCTGATTTTTCCAAGTACAGACTAAACTATATCCACACATACACACCATCTTACTTGTTTCCCAATTCATACAGAGCATTCATATAGAGTTCTCTCACTGTCTATCCATGAAAAGACATATATTGTATCTGCAAGCTCCCTTCTCACAAGGACCACACAGGAAGCCATCTTCTCATTGTGGCTTTGGAGTTGCCTACCCCGTATTTCTCTCAGCTGGGGAGGGACCTTAGCTTAGTGATAGAGCACGTGCTTGCATGCAGAAGGTGCTGGGTTCTGCCATATCCAGCTCAAAGGATCAGGTGATAGGTCAAGTGATACGAAAGACCTCAACCTGAGATGCCAGTCAGTGTAGAATGGGCCACATGACCACCTAGTCTGACCTTAGATGCCAGCTTATTTTACACCTATCTTTCTTTTCCCTGGAAACGAACTTCTGATTTTCCCAGGCAAGTAATTCCTTGAGCACCACCTCACAGCTATTTTAGCTATAAATAATCATGTACACAGCAGTATATGATAATTTGCCATGGCCCTGAAAAAGAGAGCAAGATTGAGTTTGCTCGAAGCATGAGCTCTTTTTAATGAATTATTAAAATGTTGATAATTGTTTCTAATTTTGGGTTGAACAGTTGAACACCCATACTCTTAATCCATGATAGACCACTTTCTTCCAATTACAGGAATGAAATTTACATAGGTTTTATAAAGAAAACATAAAAAACAAGCGGCTAACACAAACTTCTTTCTAAATGTGTCAGCTCAGTTCTTCTCAAGTTAAGAAAGTATTTTTGTATTGATGTATCCATGTATGTATTTTTCTGTGCATAATCCTGTCTATGGGGTTAATTTGTTGTGTTCTGCTGGTTAAATAGCCCAACTATTATTTGCTCAGTGGTTCCTTCATACTCCTGCTTTCTCTCTCATTCCAGCAGTCTTCATTTATGTCCAAAGATTGTGGTGATTCTCAAAAAGTATTTTTTTTAAGTTTCCAAATCAGGAATGACATTGTGTAGATCAAATTGCAAAGGACAAGGAAAGAAGAAAAAGGAAAGGAAAAAAAGAACTCTCAAAACACAAGCATGATATTTACTGTTTATTTATCTCAGTTTGAACAAATGGGGACATGGTTTCCTATCCTTTATAATAAAACATGTAAAACACATTGGTTGATTCCATGCTTCAGTTTGTTTGGACTGTACATTCTTGTGGCATTCTTGTGTCATGAAGTTCAACTTAAAAATAAAAAAAATAAAACAAGTAGGAACACTATTCAGAAGTTCAGACAGGCAATGTGAAGAGAGAGAAGATCAAATCTAAAACAGAAATTAAAATGTTTTTATCATGTTGTAGGAAATATACAGCTTAATTTGTTCTGATCACAAATGGTGGTACCAACAATCTAATTTTTACATGACTTGATTTGGAGTTATATTACCTTCTTAATCATTTGCATTCCTTCAGGCCATATATGAATGAAACCAGCTTTCTTGTTCCTTCTTCTCTAATTACTTTTTATTCCTTAATCATTCTTTCATTCATGAAGCTTGGCAGTGACCAATTTCAATTAATGTTCATTCTTTTACTCAGAACTCAGCTGTTGTCTCACATATATACTACAGGGATGCAGGGAGCAATTTCACCAACAGATTTATCCACATTTTTGAGGGAACTGATGTGTAATTAGATTTGTTCATTGTACACATTCATGCCAGACTAGCTTTTTTTCTCCCCAAAAAATAGAACAAAAGCCACGGTGCAATGAAGCAGCGCATTTGAGTTTTTATAAACAGACCTCAATTACCATGCCAATAAAGAGTTTATGTCAGCAGATTGGAGTGTAGGACAGAGAGTGGGAACAATGACTGCGTGTAGGCTGACTCTTGTTAAAAAGGCCACATCTTTTATTGACTGCAGCCTGCACATGGACCAATTCCACCATCCCTGTGCACATGCAGAGCTGACTGAAGGAGTGGTAGAGATATTGGGCCTGTGAATGCATGAGCAAATGCTGTGAGCTCCCCATGCAATGTGGTTTCAAACTAAGAATGCACATTCTGACATCAGTCCGGGGACATAGGGTCTCTCTGATGCTGTACCCCTGGCTTCCTAGGGAACAGAAGAAGCCAGACGGGCTCATCCATCACCCAAAGATGCGGTCCAGGGAATTCATATTCCTTGCCAGAAAGAACAGGCAGAGGTAAGGAGAAATGACTACTCTGGCCCTATCCAGTGGCCAAAGGAAGCAGCACAAAAGCCCAACCATGGGAGTATCATTGTGGTCTGGACAGGATATAGATGGCTGTTCCCTGCTCTGGTCTTGGAATATAGATGGCCCTCCTCTGTCTGGTGGCCAGGACAGTTGTCTACCAGTGGTGCTTGCAGGTGGGACAAGACCACTTTCTCCCCACCTGCTAACACAGCTGGTGGCTTTTATTTAGGTGGAAAGGGAAACCAAAGTTGCTGATAATCTTGTTTGGGTAGAACTTGCTTGTTTTTGTAGTATCAGTGGTAGCAGTTTTTTCCTAGTTAAATATTAAGTTGACACTATGAGTATTATTTAAACCCTTCTTTATCTTCTTTTTCTCTAAAAACAAAATGATTGTTGTTAAAATATTTGTGAACATTAAGAACTCAAAGCTGGAATTTCAACAAATATAATAATGAAAAACAATGTCTGTGAAGATTAAGAACTCAGAGCAAAACTTAATAAAAATGAAAGTTGAGGGTCGGAATCTAAAAATAGACTGTTCTTAACAGTTTCGCATAAGCATTACTATTATGCATAATATAACACATGCCATTTTCTTTCTTTTGCTTTTGGATGAGTATATCCCGCCTCTCTTTCATAGTGGGACATCATGGGAGACTTGGTAGCTTGGCAGTAGAACACATGATCTACAGATGTTCTCAGACTGAGGTCCTGGCATCAGACAAGAAGTGATAAGAAAGACCTCGACCTGAGATTCCAAGGGCCTGCTTCCAGCTACAGTTTGAAATTCAGGACTAAGGGTATGTATAGAAGGAAGAGGCATAGCTCAGTGCTTTGCATGCAGAAGGTGCCTGATTCAATCTCCAGGAAGGGCTACGAAAAAAAATACTGCCTAAAACTCTAGGGATTCACTCCCAGTCAGTGTTGACAACAAGCTAACTGGATCACTGGTCTTGGCTGATGTAAGGCCTATATCCTGCTATAAGACAGCTTTTAATGTGTAGATCAAGGCTGTGTAGATAGGTATCCCAGATGGTTTTCTATCCAGGGATATTCCCTTAGCTTCAGCAAGTTCGATATATCATTTGAAAACCGGTTTAGTATGGTGTTTAGGGTGTTGCACTGGGACCTGGGACATCTGGATTTTAGTCCCCACTCAGCCATGAAGCTCACTGGGCGTCTTTGGCCAGTCACTCACTGTCGGCCTTACCTACCTCACAGGGTCATTGTTGTGAGGATAAAAATAGAACTATGTAAGCCACCTTGAGTTTGTCACAAGAGGAAAGAAAGGACAGAAAGAAATGCAATGCAATAAGCACAATGTATTTGTAGATCATGAAAGGCAGCACCAAAGAGCAAACCAAAGCAGACCTAAAGAGGTGCTAGGACATGGTTCACTATGAAGAAGAAATAACTGTATCTTTCTAAGAAAAGCCATTTTTCTTGGACAAGTTCAGCCTTGAGTGAGTGTAGGAAGCTCCACTGACTAAGTAGAGTCTCAGTCTGGCTTTCATAAGTGAGAGAAAAAAACATTCCATGGACGTGTCTAGTCGAAGTGGAATAACTAGCCTCTCTGTATGGATAGTTTTTACAATTAGCTTTAGTATACTGAAATATCAATGGGCATCAAGCTTTCAGATACAGGACACAATCCAGAGAAGTCCATCTTTTTAAAGGTTTTTGGCAGTGGTATCTCAAGAAACAGCCCATATTTCTACCCTGAATCAGGAACCCAACAGATAAATCAACTTTAGAGAATATTTATTCTTCCACAGTTAAATGTAGATCCATCCTCTAGCAACCGTTTCATGCTTAAACTGAGACGCACTGTCTGCTCTCAAGTAAACAACGAATCTCTAATTTCTTCACATTCAGATGTGGCATTGAACTGCTCATTTATTTTCTTTGGGGTAATGAAGCAGAACTCCTTGGTGTATATTTTCTTTTCCTTTTTAGAAGCATTTTTCCTCCATTAAGAGGTTTGACTTTAGATCTTGACTCATGCCCCCTTTATATTATTATATGTTTCCTATTCTGGGAATGTGATTTCAATGGAACAATGGCCAGACAAAATTCAAAATTTATGAAACAGGATAGAATTTTTCCCAGTCTCTTAGAGGATTAGCACTTCCTGGGCTATAATATGCTGCTTCCAGAAAAAGGAGGCAACTTTTGATCTGTGACTTGGCCACACCCAAACCAGGTCATCACAGCAGGGCAAGTTGCTTGGAACTTCATGGTTCATATGGCTGTGAGAAGGGCTAGCCCTAGAGATGGGTGAGCTGGGCACTCAGCCAGGCCACCAAGATAAAGGGGGCACCAAGATGAACTTGGTGGCTCAGTGTTGTTCAGCATACGAGCTGTGATGAGCTGGGGCAAGAAAAAAAGGAAAGGAAACCAATACATCCTGTTGATTCTTATGATGCTAACAACAAAAAATTTGTTTCCTGAAATAATGAATTTCCAGCAGTGAGTCTTAATATTTGTTTCTTTCTTATATTTGTTTCTTTCTTTGATGTTATTTGTTCCAGGCAAAAACCAGCAGAATGGGACTTTAGTTTGCTCAGCATTATCAAGACCTATAAGTACTAAAAACACAAGACTGCAAAAGTGATACAGTGTTGAAGGTGAGCCTTATGGAGGACACCACTTATGCTAGGATCCACCCACTAGGCAATACGGGCTGCCTAGTGTGGAAAAGCCACAAGCTGAAGCACTTTGCCATGTGCAGGATTGGAACATTTAAATGTCTAATATTTAAATCAGAATGATGCACAAAACTTCCTTGATGAAACCAACAGAACAAGAACAGTACCTCTCCTTATCATGTGTAGGAACCTTCACTATGCTAGGTCAGATTTCTTCTTCTATCTCAGTAAAAAGGGAAAGGTTTCCCCTTGACATTAAGTCCAGTCATGCCTGACTCTAGGGGGCGGTGCTCATCTCCGTTTCCTAGCCGAGGGAGCCCGCGTTTGTCCATAGACAGTCTCCATGGTCATGTGGCTGGCATGACTAAACACCGAAGTGTGTGGAACGCTGTTACCTGCACACCGAAGTGGTACCTTTTTATCTACTTGCATTTGCATGCTTTCAAACTGCAAGGTTGGCAGGAGTCTACTTCAGTAGGTTTACTTTAATACCAGCAACTCACCAAGCTCTCAAACAAATCTTTCCTATCACCTGCTACTTAAACCTTTAAACTGGAGAATTGAGCAACCTTCTATATACAAATGCCGTGCTCTGCAACTAGAGATGGTGAGGAAATTAGCAATGGATTCAACTGAGTTTTAATTTCTAAGGAACAAACCTGTGGATTCCACAGTGAACTGGCCTTCTCCAGGCCACACAATTTCCACTGACTTTCAGGATATTTTCTTCTGGAAAACACCAACAAGAAATTCTCAATTTCCTTTTAGGGTAAAATGTGAAAAATATTTGTTTTTCAGGGATTTGTCTATTTGGGGGAATCTGAATATTTTTGAGATGAGAATTTGTGCAAGTGTGAATTTGCATGAATGACTATGAATAAGCAGATTTTCCAAAAAATCTGAAAATCCCCAAATAACTGAACAAAAATACCTGAACAAAAAATACCTGAAGATCCCCAAAGATCAATGAAATGATTTTCATAACATCTGTACATCCCTGTCAACAACTGAGCTATGATCCCTCTTTTCCATTACTACGGAATAATATGGAAAGATATTAATGGCTACAAAGTGGCTACCCACTGTTATCAATTTAGAGGCTTATTTGGATGAAAGAAATAGATAATAGGCTTCCTCAGTAATCATTGGACTGTTTCAGGTGTCCCCCCCCCCCCCCCCCACACACAGTATTTTTAAGAAAAGTATTGGTGTACTTTTGCAAACACAGTGGATGGCTGATGCTATTTCA